TTACCTTCCAAAGTCTATCATCATCATTCCGATCTTCATCATTTGCAAAGTGAAGACACCTGAGGATTATCACAAATCGGTCTCGAGACATATATTTGCTGAACATCGGTGTTGGAACAGTATGGTCTTTGCTCTAATAATGGTCGATTACGTGTTTGACACAATGTTTCATCAACATACAGTGCCAAAAACACATACATTTCACCTACAGTCGTATCTTTCCATCGCTGCAAACGTGAATAATCGGATAACTCACCCTCATCAGTGAGATCACTCGCATATTTGTTCATTTCACGAACAATATGTTCCATTAGCGGCTCATCAAAATATGCAGTAAAATAGTCCATTTCACACATATCTGCACCTTTATCAGGAAAAATGTCTGTAATTCCAACATTCGAATTATCAAAAACAGGAATTTGTGGAAGAAAATCTGTCCCATCACTCCACACAAAAACACCGGGTGTCTTTCGAGAGCCAATAGCAGCACCACGGCGAGGAAACCGTGGACCAGAATCTGAAGCAGGTCTAGGAACAGTAAGGGCGGGCAGGGACAGTGACGGAAAATTACTCGATGTTGAGGGTCTTTGTTCATGTGGTGCCATGCGGTGCCGCACGGCTTGGCCCTATGCTGCTGACGCGACAAGTTGTCGCTTGGCAACACCACACACTCCACTTGCACTAGCGAAACTATTTTCCGATTCTAAGTCACTAACACCGGAAAATGATTCACCTTCTCCAGACTCGTCGAGCAAAACATCAATATCTTGCAAGGGAGCACATGAACTGTGTAGTCTTGCACAAATTGGGGTCGAGTGAGGGCGAGGAGGCATGGGCGAAATGCTAGGCCTAGCCCTGGTGGAGCCAGCATGTTCACACTCATCGTCGGTCGTATCCACCTCTAAGGGCTGTGTATAGTCATGATCAAAGTCTGAATCGTCAATATCAGACTCATCACCATTCGGGAATAAATTAAGATTAATTTCGTCCTCGGTCAGAGGTCGCGAGAAACGCCTCGCTGAGCAGGGTCGTCCATTGGAACTTGATGCGCTCGCCATGGTGTCCGCCGGGTAACTGAGGCCTGTACACAAGGAGGACCCATGCTGGATTTTTTTCCCAGGCGGGGTTTGTTTATGGTCGGTTGAGGCTCACCGATGACTACTCCTATCCCACACGGGGCGTTTAAATTATAGCGCTAGACACAAAATCACATATAAATGATATGCACGGTTTCGGTTTTGTCACTGATATCATATACTGTATATATGATATGCGCGGTTTAACCGTTAACCCTTTAACTGCGCAACGCGCCTGCAGGCCCAGGCTTCAGGTGCACAACGCGCCTCCGGGTGTTTTTATTTTTCATGTTCCATTCAAAACTCCCGCGGCTACATGGGATTCACATCAGCTTCCTCAGGGCTCTTGTAAACAGACGCCATCTTTAAAAAAAATCATGGTCCACATTGCCGGGTGTCAGAGCCTCAGTAGTGAGTGAGCAACCAAGGCTGGCGCTCGCAGCATGAGCTCACAGCACTGCTGTTCAGCGTGTGACCACAGCATCGCCTAATATTGTCAAAATATATATATAATCTGTTTTATTTTGCCATGATAGTATTATAGAAGAGCCTGAGTGTGATAATGACTGGGTACAATGTTCAAATATCAGTGATTCAATGCTGTTCACGATGTTCACAACGCTAGCCACAGCACCACAGCATTATTTCGTCCATCTAGGAATCTTCAAACTACTTTTTAGGTTCCTTTTCAAAATAAACTTGTGGTCAATTATTTATTTACAGGTATTAGTGACCAGGATTGTGGTTATAATGAGCGTTGTGCGTAGGAAGGAGGAATTTTGGTGAGGAAGGGAGAGAATTGAGGTAGCCTCACTGTGTGGCAGTAACAATTGTTTTGCTCACCATACTAGCTTCGTGCTTCGCTATGGGGAACACACATGTGCATGGGTATATACAGTGTGTATGAATAGTGTAATAACAGCACCAGGAGTATGTTGTGAGAAGCTATTTTGGTGAGGGAGGTGAGGTCGTAACCGTGGCGTCGTCTGCTGTCTGCTGTATGATTTGTCATGCAGTGTATGGTGGCCACTGTACTGTTTGGACACAATACCGGCTTACTTGCATAGTTCTGGTAAATAAAACATTTAGATAGGTATATATAACATGTGTAAATAGTGTAATAAATACAATAACAGTATGGTGGAAGGAGCAATGTTGGCGAGTAAGATGTTGGAGTGAGGGAGGGCTAGCTGGGTGTGGCTGCTCACACTCGAGGTGTTCTGAGTGTGTTGATGGTGAATGTATATAGTGTGTGACAGTGTATAATGTGTACATATGTTGTAAATATACATAACTTAACATGAAACATTGGTGTGATTAACTGTATGATTTGGAGGAGCAATGTTGGTGAATACAATGTTGGAGGAGTGAGGGAGGGCTAGCTGGGTGTGGCTGCTCACACTTGCGGTGTTCTGAATGTGTTAATGGTGAATGTATATAGTGTGTACATATGTTGTAAATATACATAAATGAACATGAAACATTGGTGTGAATAACTGTATGATTTGGAGGAGTAATGTTGGTGAATACAATGTTGGAGGAGTGAGGGAGACTGGCTGGGTGTGACAGCTCACACTGGCAGTGTTCTGAATGTGTTGATGGTGAATGTATATAGTGTGTGACAGTGTATAGTGTGTAAATACATTGCATATATACATAAATTAGCATGATACATGGTAAATATGTGCAACATATGTGTACACAAGTGTCATGCACATAACAATGTCCTCAGACAGTACGGATGTTTTACTGCTATAATATAGTGTACGTGTTCATTATACATAGGATAAGCACATAAAAACAAATAAAATGTATTTGGAACTGTGCGCAAAAAATGAACAAAAATATATTCGCGGCATCTCGCACGCCCCGCCCCGGTCGCCCCACCGGCTTCGGGAGCTTATGGCATGGGCGAACAGGGAATGATGACGTCACGTGCCAACTTACGGACCCCATAGCAGCCAAAGTAAGTACAAGTTCGAATTTTTTTTGACATACCCATACTGGGGGAAGGGTTTTTGACACTTTAAAAAAATAAAAGAATTTTTTCAAGAGAATTTATTTCCTGCGCACTGGGGGTGTGTCATATTTATAGGCCGCGCAGTTAAAGGGTTAAACTGCGCAACGCACCTGCAGGCTCACGTCTGGTTTGCGCAACACGCCTCCAGGTATTTGTATTTTTCACATTCCATTCAAAACTCCCACGGCTACATGGGGTTCACATCAGCTTCCTCGGGGCTCTTGTAAACAGACGCCATCTTTAAAAAAAATCGTGGTCCACATTCCCGGGTGTGGGAGCCTCAGTAGTGAGTGAGCAACCAAGACTGGCGCTCGCAGCATGAGCTCACAGCACTGCTGTTCAGTGTGTGACCACAGCATCACTTAATAATGTCAAAATATATATATAACTTGTATTATTTAGCCATGATAGTATTATAGAAGAGCCTGAGTGTGATAATGACTGGGTACAATGTTCAGATATCAGTGATTCAATGCTGTTTACGATGTTCACAGCGCCACAGCATTATTTTGTCCATCTAGGAATCTTCAAATGACTTCTTAGATTCCTTTTCAAAATAAACGCGTGGTCAATTATTCATTTACAGGAATTAGTGACCAGGATTGTGGTTATAATTAGCATTGTGCGTAGTATTATGGAAGGAGGAATTTTGGTGAGGGAGGGAGGGAGAGAATTGAGGTAGCCTCATTGTGTGTGTGTGGCTGCCACTCTTGTTATGCTCACCATACTAGCTTAGTGGTTCACTAAGGGCAACACATATGTACATGGGTATATACAGTGTGTGTATATAGCAACAGGAGAATGTTGAGAGGAGCTATTTTGGTGAGGGAGGTGACGTCGTAATCGTAGCTTCGTCTGCTGTCTGCTGTGTGTTTTTCATGCAGTGTATGGTGGCCACTGTACTGTTTGGACACAATACCGGTTTATTTGCATAGTTCTGGTAAATAAAACATGTAGATAGGTATATATAACATGTGTAAATAGTGTAATAAGTACAATAACAGTATGGTGGGAGGAGCAATGTTGGCGAGTAAGATGGAGTGAGGGAGACTTGCTGGGTGTGGCTGCTCTCACTTGCGGTGTTCTGAATATGTTGATGGTGAATGTATATAGTGTGTGACAGTGTATAGTCTGTAAATAGATTGTATATGTACATAAATTAGCATGATACATAGTAAATATGTGCAGCATATGTGTACACAAGTGTCATGCACGTAACACAGTGTCTTCGGACAGTACGGATGTTTTACTGCCATAATACAGGTATAGTGTACGTGTTCATTATACATAGGATTAGCATGTAAAAACAAATAAAATATATTTGGAACTGTGCGCAAAAATTGAACATAAATATATTCGCGGCAACTCGTGCACCCCGCACCGAGCGTCCTACTGGCTCCAGGAGCATACGTTAGGGGCGAACGGGGAATAATGACGTCACACGCCAACTTACGGACCCCATAGCAGCCAAATTAAGCACAATTTCGATTTTTTTTTTTTTTTACATACCCATACTGAGGGAAGGGGTTTTTGACACTTTAAAAAATCAAAAGAATTTTTTTCAGAGAATTTATTTCCTGCGCACTGGGGGGGGTGTCATATTTGGAGGCAACGCAGTTAAGGGGCTAAGGGTTAAGCAAAGTACTCTCTATACTATATACAGTATGCCTTTTCTAAGTTATATAAAGATAGAGTATGATTCATTATTGTACAGTTTAGTAGTACTGTAAATAACAATGAGTGATTCTTGATTTATATTACTAACAAAAAAATGCATTACACAAATGCCTCCTGAAAGCATCTCTGGTTGCAATGAATCCCTCGCTCCAACGAATTGATATTGTTCCATATAGTTTGCTGAATCAAGTGTCCACTGTACATTCAAAGCTGGGTTTTTATTGCAGGCCATCAAAAGCCCAGCCTTCGAGACTACATCTCCCCTGGGATGGCAGCAAGTGTTTACAGTCCTTGTTGCAGTACTGCGTCGCATCATCCCAAATGAAGTTTGGGGATCTTCACATAACTTTTGCATTATGAAGAGGGCAGTCAAGAAAATTTTGATGTTGGGACGTCATGACAAGTTTTATCTTGGGTTTTTAATGAAAAACATTAAAACAAAAGATTGCAGGTGAATTATTGTATAATTTTCCATAGTGAACTTAGAACTTTTGTAATCATTGAACACTATTTCCTCAGATACATCATTTTGTTCTACAAGGAGACTTTTGAAATTTAATTTTAGTGTTTATATATGGGAGGTTTACAATGTCCCTTATACACACTGTAATTTTGACTTGAGGTATCATTAGCCTTTATTTTAGATACATATTTTTTCTTTTATATTAGTATACAAAAAGTTACAATGGGTTGTTATAGATTTTGGAGGTCAGTTGGTACCTTCTTTACAAAGGAAAGGGAACTATCAGGAGAAGTGCCAAGCCATTACAACTATATAGCATTGGGAAGGGATGAAGATTTGGGATGGGATGGAATGGTGCCCAACCACTTGGACAGTCGGGGATTGAACACCTGCATGAAGCGAGACTGTCGCTCTACCATTCAGTCGATGGTAGAGCAACGGTCTTGCCACCAACATGCAGATAGAATGTCACCAACATGCTGATCTGCAAGCCACCAACATGCAGATAGAACATTAACTATCTTGCTTCCTATACTAAAACCAGGTAAAGTGCATAACTTTGTATTCAGCTTCCTCATCACTCTTTCTCCAGTCCCATCCCAAATCCTTATCCTGATCTCTTCCAAGTGCTCTATAGTCGTAATGGCTTGGCGCTTTCCCCCTGATAATTCCTTCCCTCCCCTCCATCTAACTTTGTGTTTGTGCAAACTGTTAATGAAGGTCATTAACCTTTCTGGGGGGGGGACCCCCATGTGGTTCCTTGAAGCTACTATATGCTGAGATAATACCATTACTGGGGTCACATCAGCTGTGGAGTTCTATAGGTCTACCGGGAACCAGCACCAGAATCTGGCCCATTCATCAAAGCACAGGGAATGGTGACATCTATTTTTGCCACCTCGTGAGGAAAGGCAACCAGAAAGTCAGTCTTCAAAACAGTGTTGCTGGCTGCAAGAGAGACCGAAGCATCAAAACCCACCTAAAGGACTCCTCCAACTGTTTAAACTAATGACTGAATTCTCTTGGAACTAGCATGAGGCCACATGTCCTACCACCTTCACTCTTTTTCGGGGGGAGGATGGAGGTAGTTCACTGCCAACCTGCATCTTGGCTACAATTCTATTGATGATGAGAGGCATACCAGATCGCCTCTCTTCTGAGCTGGCTCCTGTGTTCTGCTTTTCTGTGGGGAGCCCCTACGGCTTCCTGGAGCTTATTGGGCTAATGTATGTTATGTTAGACCGGGACATTAGCTATGGAGTCAATGGGAGTCAATAAAAGGTGGCCACACACAGTCAGAAGACGACGCCACCACCTTCCCTCCCACAGCATTACTCCTCCCTCCATGGAGCACAGCGCTAAATATCACCACAATCCTGCTATTATCAGAACCCTGGTCAGTTTTATCAGTCAGGGGGCTTCTGTAATAATATCATTGCTAAATAGCAAGAACATGTATATTATGGCATTTTTAGGCGATGCTGTGGTCACAAGCTGAACAGCAGTGCTGTGAGGTCATGCTGCGTGCGTCAGGCTTGGTTGCTCACTCAATACTGAGGCCCCTCACACCCGGGAATTTGGCCCACGATTTTTTTTTTTTAAATGGCGTCTGTTTACAAGCGCCCTGATGAAGGTGTGGTGAACCCCGTGTATCCCTGGGCCGTTTAAATCTTGCGCGGTACTCCAAAACATCATATGATGCCGAACGCAATTTACTGCAAGTCACTCAACGCATCATATGATGTCTTGCGCAACTAAAGGGTTAAGATTCAGCTACTCGGAACAAAAAGTTCCATGTAGCATGGGCTCACCCGTAGAGGACTTACATGGTACAGGAGTGGGGCTGTAACTTGGGTCCCTCCTGCATCAGTTCTTTTAATGTACCTCATGCAAAATCCGGATTACACCTCATTGATAGACCATTCTCTTTTGAATCTGGGACTTCTCTGAATTGAATGCATTAAAGGTAACAGAGTCTTCCTGGCTGGCAGACAGTCCCTTCTTGCTTTTATGTAGTTTTTGTCATACATGCATGCAGGTGTGGCGTGAGGTCATGGAACAATATGTTTCAGGAGCAGGTCATCAAAATATGCTGTAAAATAGTCCATTTTGCTCATGTCCTCACCAGCATATTGGAAAAGGTCTGTAACCCTAACATCTGTATTGTCAAATGTAAGGATTTGTGGAACAAATTCTGCATCATCAAATCACACTAGTACATCTGGTGTTCTGGCTGATGCTACACCAACACCACGGCCATGAAACCTCGCACCAACAAAACTTTGTTGACTAAGAGATGAAGCCCATCTACACTCACTACAAGCACGAACAGGTGAAGATGAGGGGTAAATAGTTTGAAGATGAGGGCATTTGTCCCTAATTTTCTCCATATATCACTTGGTGGTGTTTGCCTTGGCGACACACTGATACTGCAAAGGACATTTTGCAGCATCATCAAAAGACAAAACTTTGGACAAAAGACAAAAACAAAGACAAAACAAAAAAACAAAGGACAAAACAGGCAGATTCACAAAGGACAAAATACCAAGGACACCACTCCCACTAGCCCTATACTACTGAAATTACAGTACAACCTCGATTCAACGTACTATATGGGACCAACCCCAGTTCGTTGGAGCGTTGGATTCATTGCAAGACGTGACCTTCAGGAGGCGTTTGCATCAGTGTCTTTATTTTTCTTGTAGACAATAAAAATGCATTATCATATTATATACTGTACCTATATATTATTACTCTACTAACAAATACTGTTACATTTGTTATTTACCTTATTGTTGGAGTTAAGTCCATCTTGAAGTCTCATGGAGTTGTGAATGCTGTACAGTAAATACATACTGTAGTGTATTATGCCGTTAACACTGTGCTGAGTAGTTCTGTTGTATGTTGAGTACTACAATAAGGTTTATGAAAACTATTGTACACTAAAATTACTGCAACTTTAATTTTAACACTATATTTTGATTTGTCATGAGGCTGGAGTGTTCATTCTGTGACTTTGTTGGGCATATCGGCACAATCAAGGAACATCCGTGCACCATGTCGGCTCCAAATGCACTCATTGTGTCAGTGATGGCTGGTGGGTGGATGGGCAGGCAGGGAGGCAGGCAGGCAGGGAGGCAGGCAGGCAGGCAGGCAGGCAGGCAGGCAGGCAGGCAGGCAGGCAGGCAGGCAGGCAGGCAGGCAGGCAGGCAGGCAGGGAGGGAGGCAGGCAGGCAGGCAGGCAGGCAGGGAGGCAGGCAGGCAGGGAGGCAGGCAGGCTGGCTGGCAGGCAGGCAGGCTGGCAGGCTGGCAGGGAGGCAGGCAGGCAGGCTGGCAGGGAGGCAGGCAGGCAGGCTGGCAGGCAGGCAGGCAGGCAGGCAGGCAGGCAGGCAGGCAGGCAGGCAGGCAGGGAGGGAGGGAGGCAGGCAGGCAGGCAGGGAGGGAGGCAGAGATTGGGAGGGAGGTAGGCAGGAAGGGATGCGGGCAGGCAGAGCTTGTGAGGGAGGCAGGCAGGGAGGGAGACAGGCACGGAGGGAGGCAGGCAGGGAAGGAGAGGATGGAGATGGATTGATGGAAGGATGGAGGGAGGGATGGAAGGATGGATGATTTGAGGGTGTGTGTGTGTATGGGCTGTAGGGTTGGGGGGGGGGAGGTGTGTCGGTGGTGGTGAAGGGACCGACTCGGTGATAACCCTAACTCTGACCCAGTTAACTTTTTTTTAACTTGATTTGTTTCTTCAATTCTGGATGGATGGAGGGAGAAAGGGGATGGATGGAGAGAGGGAGGGAGGGAAGGATGGATGGAGAGAGGGAGGGATGTAGAGAGAGAGAGGGGGGATGGAGAGAGGGAGGCAAGGGGGGATGGAGAGGGAGGGAGGGAGGGGAGGGATGGAGAGAGGGAGGAAGGGGGGAAGGAGGGAGGGAAGGAGGGAGGGAAGGAGAGAGGGAGGGAGGGAGGGCTGGAGAGAGGGAGGGAGGGAGGGAGAGGGAGGGAGAGAGGGAGGGAGGGCTGGAGAGAGGGAGGGAGGGAGGGAAAGAGAGAGGGAGGGATGGAGGGAGGGGGGAGGGAGGGAGGGATGGAGAGAGGGAGGGAGGGATGGATGGAGAGAGGGGAGGGGAGGGATGGAGAGAGGGAGGGAGGGAGGGATGGAGAGAGCAAGGGAGAGCTGGAGAGAGGAAGGAAGGGAGGGAAGGAGGGAGGGATGGAGAGTGGGAGGGAGGGATGGAGAGAGGGATGGAGGGATGGAGAGAGGGATGGAGGGAGAGAGAGAGAGAGAGGGAAGGAGGGAGGGATGGAGGGAGAAAGGGAGGAAGGTATGGAGGGAGGGAGAGAGAGGGAGGTAGGTAGGTAGGTATGGAGAGAGGGAGGGAGGGAGGGATGAAACACGCATGGTGCTGTGTGTACAGGGATTAGACCCGTCCACTCACGCTAGAGTTGTTCCAATAACATACAGTAATTTCTCAAAGAGCAGATGTCTATCATATTACAGTATATTTTCGGTTTTATTTAGTTTAGTTTAATTAGGATAATAAAAAGCTATTAAAACACTGGTTTTAGAAATTATTTATTAATATGAAACTTTCAAAAGTCATGGGTCACTGAACTATGACGACACACAGACGAAAGTGAGTGAAACCTCACTGTAAAGTGAGGTTTACTGTACAGTATTCTCTTATCTGTCCACCCTCACTCATCTTGTTTCATCACAGAAAATGTCTATAAGGAGATTTTACCACATGTAGCTAGGTAATCACGCTTCATCCTTTAAATTAATGTACAAAGATACGTGTGCCCCAAATCAGTGAACGAAAATCATGGAAACTCAGTTGTTCACTTGTGTGGATCACTGGCTGGTGTTTGTGTGGACCATTTTGGCTGGTGTTTGTGTGGACCATTTTGGCTGGTGTTTGTGTGGACCATTTTGGCTGGTGTTTGGTTCATATGGTTCACTTGTGTGATCCAACTTCTTATGAAGGAATTATTAATTG